ACCGCGCCAAATTACCCTTTTACCTTATATAATTTAATGGGGATATTTGCGAAGTTAGGTGTTTCTAGAAAATTTGCATGAGCCTCTCTGAAGTACAAAAGCACCTATATGCGTTTCCCTCCTAGTAACATGAATTATTTGCTTATTTGTTTATGTTGATAATTGTTTGATTGTTTATTGCTGGTTCTTACTTTAATTAGTTTATTCACGTGATTTCTATATATATCGGTTCGTTCGGACTAAAAACAGCATTTGAAACTTATTAGTTCATCCGAATTGCGCGATAATACACACAACCTTCTAAAATCCATCATACCTGATAATATGAGCCATGAAATCCGGGTTTCCCAGGTCCTTTATGAACGATACAAAGGGCCTGAACAAATGATTCAAACATACGAAAAATTCACATATCTTTGCACACCTTCATCAAAAGTTAGCCCGGACCACGACAATATAGATATCAGCCGTTCCACAGATCCAGGAACATAGCGTTCCTATTATCATTATACAAATCGCTTCTATAATCCATGTTAGGATAAAAACGATTCCTAAACTGATATTACCCTATCTGTATCTTCTATTCTCAAAACAAAAACACCTCCAGTTTTCCGTGCCAATAAATAATTAAACAAAGCTGTCCTTAGACCTCCAAGATGGAGATGCCCCGTCGGGCTGGGTGCGAAACGAACGCGTACTGGAGCTGTTGGTTGGACGGTTTGAAAAAAACGTTTACAACTTACTAACATTAAAAAGAAAGATAGTTAATCTGTAGATATATATATTTCATAGGAAGAAATTTGTCTAATTGGCTGATGTAATCAATCGATTGATTGGCCGATTACAGGATTAGTTAAAACGTCATCAAAAAATTAGTCATCTTAAAACAAGACATTATTGCCTTAATGCAATTAAATGCATTTTTTTTATTACAGTTAATTCTTTTTTTTTTAATATTAAGGTGTGCTTCTGCCTCTAAATCTTTATTAACACTTAAGTATCTCCTGGATAGTAATAGATCTAATTAGACCAGAGTCTTCCATATTCCAATCTGGTTTTGTGCATTTCTACTAACTACTATTTGACAGTGTTGTCCAATGTCCAAACGTCAAGAATGTCCACAACACTTTCAAGCTTCAAAAATTAATATATTAATTCAAAAAATATATGATTATATATATTTTTTATATAGTGCTGAATATTTTTATTTAGAAAGTTTAAAATAGGTTAATTTATTTATTTGTCCAGAAAGTTCAAAGGTGTCCAAACTCTTGTCCATGTCCACAACTGTACTATGACAACATTGTCTCGCACAACTATACTGTATTTTAACTTCCAAATTGACATTTTAGAATCAAACAGTATAAGGGACCCTTCCGGCAAATTTTCTAGAAACACCTAACTTCGCAAATATCCCCATTAAATTATATAAGGTAAAAGGGTAATTTGGCGCGGT